TTGGGAAAAAGTACTTGAGTTGAACTCAATAAGGCATCTCTTTATAAGTGAGAAAACCTTTAAGTTCGCAATACTCTAGTATTTTGTTGGTCTAGCCTCGACTAACCTTCGAGGTAGAGACCGCTCGGGTCGGGTCGAGGGTGCGAGCCGTCGGAGGCTTACGCACTTGCGAAGCTAGAGCTTTCAAGTAAGAGCTCGTAAGCTAGCGATACACGCGTCGAGGGTAAGATCGACTTTTCTCTTTCTCTCTCTTTTGTTGTTTAATTATGTGATTTCATGTTTAGTTATATTAATTAGTGTGTGGGTACGGTCTTGGGCGGGTTTCATTCCGCGTAGTGTCGGACACTACGAAACCCAACACTTAAGAGAACATCATATTGAAGTTTGTTTGTCATGTGAAAGAACTAATTAAACTTAAAGCCACGTATATACTCCTACACATACACAACTCATTTATACACACAGGATATATACTTACCTCATGAAGCTAACATATGCAAACACCTATTTACATAGTTACCTTCATGGTTCCTTCGCCATCATCATGCTTGTCAACCATAACTCATCATTGTTCTTGTTCCTTTTATTGCTTATCATATATTGCCCAAGTTCCTTTTATATATACTTGTCATTTCTCAGGTTCCTTGGATCTTGTTCCAAACATAACTTGTTCTTTCTATGCACAACTTAACAAACATGTTAGATAGATAATCATCATTAGTTTACAATCATCAAAACCTAATTACTCAACACTTTAGCATCTTAATTTTCTAACTTAAACTAATCTATTTCTAAATTACTTAACCTAAGCACACATTTAGATCATATAACATGTTAACCCATATATTCAAACAATTAGCTTTTTGATATGAGGTTTATCATTGTTCCCTTATACAATATTATTAAGGAAATTTGTCAAAAAGGTCCTTTTATGTAGGTATTTTTGTTATACAGTTCCTTTTATAAAAAAAAAGATGACTCAAAAGGTCCTTTTATCGCACTTAGGTTGTGGCGAGGGTCTTTTAGCCAGATTTCAGTAGTTGACTTTTTTTCCGACCAAGAGAAGTCACATATGCCTTGCACGAAAGTCTATTTTCCCCCTACCCCCCTTTACCTTTATTGAACCCTAATTTCTTCATCATCAACCTCAACGCGAACCCTATTCTGTGAAAAGAAAAAAAAATCATCGAACTCTGATGCTAGTCCCTCACATTAAAATTGAAGGAAATTGAAGAAAAATCGAACCAGGTCGGATGGAGAAGTGGGGAAAAGGGGAAAAAAAGGATTTCAAGTGGTCATATGCAACTCACGTGACTTTTTTTGGCCCGAAAAAAAAAATGGTCAATGGACTGAAATTCGGTCTAAGGACCCTCGCCACAACCTAAGTGCGATAAAAAGACCTTTTGTGCCACTTTTTTATAAAAGAACCTTTACAACAAATAGACCTACTTAAAAGGACCTCTCTGACAAATTTTCCTATAATTGACTTTGATTTATAGTGATCTCATTTGTATTCAGATTTTTCATAATAGCCTTATACTTAAAACATAACCATTTTTTTTTAAAAAAAAAAAAAAAAAAAAAAAAAAAAAAAAAAAAAAAAAAAAAAAACCCGGGTTTTCAATAAAATATAGATTGAGTCACCAGTGACGACGACTTATCTCTTTCAAGATCAACTAACTGCAAAAAATGGGGACTTGACAAGGCCTTCTTCCTCCTCTTCAACACTACCACTTTCATCGACTAAGAATTAACGCAACCCTTCAATCTTCTTTTTCTTTAATTTCAATGATAATTATGTGATGATGAAGATTGCATTCAAAGATGGTTAGAGGATTTCTAACTTGATTTAATCTCTCGATTATATTTCAAGCCAGTTTAAACAAAAATAATTGGGAATTGAACTCTCGCCAAATTATCAGACTAAAGCATCCAAATCAATGAAGTAACCTATCAACTCAACAATTAGGGACCAAGCTCAATTACTAAACCAAGATCCTACAATCTAGCATCATTTTTCAATGAACATAGTAAAAAGTAGCAAGCAAGCATTTATATGGCCATAACAATAAACACCACCAACAACTAACTCACGAACAACAATTAAAGCAAATACTAACCATGAATACTCGTTGATATTCACACATGATCTTGGCTAATAGAATAGTTGAGCCTTCACCCAATGTAAGACTATAAGCTAATCAATTAACTAGCTTAATATGGAATTTAAGAAAAATTAAGTGAATTTTCAGTCTCTAATTGCTTGAGTCTTTTATGCCTCTAATTAATAATGTTTGTTGGTATTAGATTGTGTTTAGATGTTATCATCTTGGTACCAAAATTGTTCTTATATATACATTAATACCAACGTTTTTTAAGTTATCAATTAATTTCTTTAACCCGTAAATTAAAAAAAAAATAAAAAAAATCTCTTTATTGGTATTAAGAATGATACTATCTAAGCTAAATGTAATACAATGAGCATTAAAGTCGTCAATGACTCAAGCTGTTAGAAGTAGAAAATTTCTCATCAATTTAATTAAGGATTTTTTAGAAAATAACACCACAAAATAGCCACAAATTTAATTATAACACCACAAAATTTCAAACTTTTATTATAACACCACAAAAAAAATAAAAAAAAATAAAAAAAAAACCCAAAAATTGGATTTCACCACCACTTAACGGATCCTTGGATGGAATCGGTCCCTGAGTGGGGCCCACCATATATACATGTCACTCATTTATTGTTTTAGGGTTAGGGCTGGGTTAAATTTGGGGTTTTTATTTATTTTTAATTTTTCTTTAACCAATAATATAGTGACATGTGTGACAACGTGGACCCTACTTAACGAATTCATCCAAGAATCTGTACCGCCAAAACAACCTCATTTTCCACTTTATCCCAATGTTTTTTGAAGAAGGATGCTGTAAAACCATCAAGGCCAGGGCTTTTATCACCGTTAAGGCTAAACATAGCCCTTCTGACCTCATCCGCTGAAACCGGGTTCGTTAAAAAAGCCACCTGTCTATTATCCAAAGTTGGAATATTAAGCTCTCGTCACAGCATGTTACTCATCTGATCTGTATCTGAGTCCTGCACCGGGCACAACACCTTCTTCATCGAATTCACAACCAACTCCTTAACCTGAGATTTGTCCTCTATCCATACCCCCGAATCATTTTGAAGTGTGAGAATTTGGTTTTTCTTTTGTCGCATTTTCACTCTAGAGTACAAGAGGGAAGTAGAGAGATCCCCCGAGGCAACCCAATTTTCTTTCATTCGTTGTCTCCAAAAAGCAACTAACGGCTGGTTAAAAATCATGCTGTCTGGAAAATGGAAAAAACCAGTCATCTGCAAAATCCAGGCACCAATTGTTTGTTATGAGTACACATTTGCTGCCTTTTCATTATTTGATTAGTGAATGTATTTATTTCTTTCCATTAGATTGCATTCTTGACCGTAACTTTTAATAGATTGCAAGATAGTAGTAGATATCTTCCTCAAACCAAACACGGCAGACAAAGAAGTTAAAAGCTTAGGGCTTGCTTGGCATAGTTTTTTGTTTTCAGTTTCGTGTTTTATGGAAAACAAAAAACCAAAAACAGGAAACAAGAAAAAGGTGTTTTCACTTTTCTATTGGCAATTTTCAAAATTATCATGATTTTAATAAGTTCGACTAATTTTTTATTCATTATGTGACATATATCATATGATTTTGAAAAACAAAAAACCTAAAAACTAAAAATCATAGCGATGTCATACGAACCCTAAGTTAAAGATTCATTTCTCTTTGTATTAATTCGGACTATTTTAAAATCACGTTTTTAGGAATGTGTATAGGTGGCTAGAGCCCACCACCTAGCCGGAAGGGTAATAGATGCATAAAAAAAATTCAATTTTTTTATGGATGTAATAGATTAAGGGGCCGTTTGGTTCACAGTAATAATCAAAGGGAATGAGATTCCACGAGAATCATTCCCTTTGTTGGTTTTTGTTTTCCCATTTCTATCATTCTTTTTCCCTTTGATTACCCAAAAAGCTTCTAATCCCATTCCCCACCCCCCCCCCTATCTTTTCCATTCCCTTCCCCACCCTTGCTTCTTTCTCTCTCATCTCTCCTCCATGACCACCTCCTTCGTCCTTCTTCCATGACCACCTCTCACAACACCCTTCACCGGCAGCCCCACCCTCTAGCCGCCTTCCCTGGCACCCCACCCCTCACCGGAAACCCACCTATTCAGCCCGGCCAGCCTCCTCGAACACCCCAACCAGCCACCAAACACTCTAACCAGCCACCACAACCTTCGAAAACAATGTGTGGGTGTGTGGGTGTGGTGGTGGTGAATCTGGTGATTCCCATTGTTTTTTTACAACCAAACAACATACTACATTTGAGGGATTTTCATTCCATTCCATTTTATTCCCTTTGTTCATTCCATTCTGTTTACCCCGTGCAAACTAAACGGCCCCTAAATTTATTTATATACCCTAGCTAGTAGGATGCAAAGTACATTCAAGGGTAATTTCTGCTCAATTAGTTTTTTTTTTTTTTTTTTTTTTTTTTTTTTTTTTTTTTTTTTTTTTTGCTCTTTTTTATATATATCTTAAAACTATCAAAATATTACACTTAGGTGCGCCTACCTCTATGTATACTCGGGTATATATAAAAGGTGTTGGTAATAAATGCAATACTAAGTGTGTTAAACTTGAATTATTGTCAATATGGTGGATGTATAAAATAAAATAGTGTTGGACTCAAAATCAATGGATTACTGGTGAACTCAAAATCTTAGATCGTGTGTTTTATTGTTTTGCTCGGTTTTTGCATTTGCTTCCAGAACATTTTATTTTTATATGAGCCTAGGTGGAACTTTATTCGTTTTAAGAATATGGGCATAAATTATGTAATTTATATGTGCATAAATGGGTTACAAGATAATGCCTTGTTTTTTTTTTTTTTCTCAAGTACTATATACAATCTTTATTAACATAAAGATGACAAAATTAACCAAAACTTTTATTAGTCGGATCAAAATTATTTCTTACATGTTAGTACCTTAGAAATCTACTAGATTAATATGATATATTAATCTGTTCCAGAATTTCTAAACGTAACTTGATAGCAAAATTACAACATATTGATTGATGACCAAAACAAATTCACCCAAATAGTTTGATAAGAAACATATTAGGCAATTCAATGGCATGCAAGCCATACAAAATACATCGATCATGCTCTTGATAATTCATGAAATATTATGGATACTACTCTTGATACATCATGGATTATTGCCCTCGTTGAGCCTGGCAGCTGCAGCCACTGATGCTGCAACGCCACCAGGGCGGGTTGCTACATTTGGGTTGTTCCTCAGTTCGGCACTCACCACTCCTTCAGCATCATGCCTCGTCGCTTCCTTATCAGCTGGCAACTTCATGGTTGCATTCTGTTCCAACAAGGAAGTTTATTAAAATTAATGCAACTATTATGTATAAAAATTAAAAAAGGTTTATAAATAAAAGGTATTGCCCTCTAATCTATACAATTTTAATGTTTAGTAATTTAGTTTATCACATTAGACAATACTATCTTCCTTAATTCCTAAATATTAACAATTTGAATTCGACAGTGTTTATGTATTAACTTCGAGGTCTTTGACTACATTTCTATTTTTACTAATCTTTAAATCAAAATGTTTTTGTGTGATACTTATTTTGTTGAACTAGTCTCACTGTATATTTTCAAAATTAAAAAAACTTCAAAAATTCTATTAATACATAGATGCATTTTAAAATTAAAATCATGCATTAGCATGTATGTCATTCAGATCAAACGGGTGCAAGTATCATAGATAGTAATATGTTTCATTATCTAAAGTAAAACATGACACACATTACCGATTATTATGCAACAACCCATTCTGTCATTATGATTACTTCCACCCTATTTTGGGTGAAATATTTCGCACCTAATATATAATTGATTAATTCACGTACCGTCAGAACATCGCCCAACTTGACTTTCTCCTCATCACGAATCGTTTGAGCATTCATAGAAGCAGCAGCCTGAGCAGCAGATGCCACCCCACCAGGCACCACCACATTGTTGCCAGTGGCCCTAACCTCAGCTGCTTGGATCGCCGAGGCATCGCTTTGCTCCACTGGTTTGTCTCCGGCAGTTAGTGCAACCGCTTCTAAAGCTTCACCTATGGTAACCTTTACTGTCGCACTATTCCATCCTTGTATTAGACTCCCTTGTTCACCTTGCACTAACGGCCTAGATTGTATAGTTTGTCCTACAACCTACAAGTCCACACCAACATTTTAAAAATGTAATAATCACGTATAATAGTGCAATAATATTACTCTTACATATATTTAGTACTTGTAACTTAGTAATTAAGGGAAACTTTGTTAAAATAAAGAGAAAAATATAAATCAGCATTGTCCTAGGATAACAACAATGGATGTACATGTGCATTACTTAATAAAAGATTTAAAAATCACAACTGTATCCAAGATATGAGATAATTAAGATATACTAATTATTGTAAATTCTTCTCATACAGTCACACTAGATACGGTCATTCACTTATATCAATTCTGTTCATTTGACTCTACAAAAATAATTTTTAATAAATAATAATTTCAGTTTATAAGAATAATTGACTTTAAACCAGAAATATAACATAAAATTAGTAAAAATAATTCAGTTCAGCAACAATAATTTTAATTAAGTAAAAATTAATTTCAGTTTAGCAAAATTAAAGTGAAGTGAATGGGCTTAAATGAAAATATTAAGTGCGACACGAACCTGTCCTCCAATAGACTCAGTTATAACAACAGCACCAGGAACAGAAGTTTCAGTGACAGTAACACCCTGCTGCGCAGCCAGATCCGAGGCTGCAGCATGGCTAACAACACCAGCTCTTTCATTAACAGTGGCAGCAGACTGCATGGTGGCAGCAGGACCACCCTTCTGAGTCTGCCCGAATACCGCGTTTTCCGCGGTCTGCATCATCGCAGCATCTCTTGGTGCTATTGGCTTTGAGGCCAACTCCCCCGCCACCGGGAATACATCGCCGTATCTTACAGGCTTCACGTCTTGGCCTTGTTGCTGCTGTTCTTCCTGATCTCTTTGAGGCTGTTTTTGACTCATTTTGCAAATTAGTTACTACAATAATAAACACTAAACTTTGTAGGGAAATGATTTGTCTATGAAATTAATTAAACTCGATGTTTGAGTGAATATATCTTAGGTGGTGATAAAAGTATAGAAGGGCTTTTGGGAGGTAGTATATGATGACACATAGCATTTCTAGCTCCATTTGGCAAGATTGCGCTTGTGCAGCTGGATCCAATTTTACACGCGCCTTGTACATAGGGTAGTTCCAATGATTGATGATGAGTATTCTTTTAGCGTTCATCCGTTTTGAATTTTAGCTGTAACACTTGACTGATAGAATTTTAGGGACTATAATAAAACCTATCTCTTTTTTATAAGTCTAGGTATGGGTTGATGTCCCCTTGAGAAATCCAAATTTACCTTCTTGATAAGAGATTGTTGTTTACCAAATGGCAAAGTCGTAAACAAATACATAATTACATATTTTTTGAATTATTAATAGTAATATTTACTACTTGAGATAGTTGTCATGCTTGTAATATTACGATTTTACCTCTTAATAAACTAATTGAATTATCATTCTCAAGGAGATGAATTGGAGCTCCCTCATATCCCTTGTCAAAACTAAAATGTCCCTTTTTCTTTAAATGTAGAGCGTACATAATTAAAAAGAATAAAAAAAAAATTTAATCAATCCAAATAATAAAGATCATTCAATCATCAAAGAATAACAAAAATTTTGAAAAAAAAAAAATTGATTTCATACTGCATTTAAAATTTGTGTAATTATACTAAAGGCGAATTTTGAGATGACACGTGTCATCTTCCAATTAAAAATTTTCCCGCCTAATTTTTTTTTTTTTGTTTTTTTTTTTTTTTTTTCCGTCAAATATTAACTTCTATATTTGACATCAAATTTCTTCCATATATGTTCTGCCAATATATATTTTCATATCTTATTTACCATTTTTATTGGGTATTAAAGTAGTAATATTCCATAAGACTTTACAATAATCTTTTTTGTCTAATTATATACATATGTGGTACTTTGTTTTTTATTTTCAAGAATAAACCCATCAATAATTATTGGTGAAAAGTAAAATAAATAAAGTTGTAAAGAATCTATACTTTTATTAACATTGCACCTCATTTTTTGTAAATATGATACAAATATGCAATACTAAATAATTAATCAAATTATATATTTATACATAACTATGTATTTTTTTTGTTTAATATCAATAACTTTATACTAAAAGCGAAGCCAGAAATGACACATATTGTTTCAGGGTTTTCTGATGTCCTGCGGGAGAGTTACAATTCCGAGACTGGAACCGGACGCCTGTACCTGCAAAATAACGGAGACTCCTGAGAGCTCCGCCTCCAACGGTCAAGTTAGTACCTGATTAAGGAGTAATTAATACGGAAATTAAAGTAATAAGACCTCTCTAGGTGAGAGTGTTTAATGTTGGTAATCTGCTTTGTTAGCGAGATTAGCCGGTTATTAGTGTTCCGTAATGTTTCTGTTCTTCTCTCTTCTTCAGGAGAGATTAATTGCTTGATCAATTGCTCTCTCAATTGCTTGATCCCTTTTAATGAGGATTAATTAAGTATTTATAGTCTTGAGAAGCGTGCCACTCTCTAGGTTTAGGGTAAACCTAGGGCTGACCGGGCCTCTAGACAGGATTGGGCCTTGTTGGCCGGTTTTCCCATTTGGCATGGGTGGACACATGGCGTGCCTCGATTGGTCCGTAGAGGACGTATCTGTGATTGACACGTGGCAGGCTCCTATTGGCCTACGTGAAGGACACGTGGCGGAACCTGGTTGGTCCAATTGTCAGACGGTGATTGGTGGATAAAAATCCCCTAATCATTTGCCCCTCACAGGTGGCACGTGACTGGTCACGTGTCGCCTGTGACAGGTGTCGCACGGTGACAGGCGACGGCCTGCTACAGGTGTCACCTTGCAAACGGCCGAGAGATTTTCCCGCCCAAATTTTGAATTTGGAAGCGACCCTTCGCCTTCTCACTTTGCCTATATAAGGAAGTGCTGACTTCGGTCATTTTCACATTTGAGAACTTTGCGAGAACATTCGGACCCCTGAACTTGCTCTGACATTTCGGACCTTTTCTGCCTACCGCCTGTTCTGACAAGCCGACTGCACCGGATTTCCAGAACTTCATCAACCGTCACTCGTTCAGGTAACTCAGTTCTCTTACTCTTAATTTTCTTTTTATTTTTTGAAATGGCACCACGGAAGCACACGACACGACCTAAGTTAGTGATCAGCCGGTCACCGGGGACGGCTGAATCTAGGACTAGGAGTGCCGCCTGCCCTTTTCTGGACCCATCTTTGCCCTTTATACAAATTCCGACTGTATCTGTGTCTATGCAGAACGTGATGGCCAGAACAAAAAAGACTTCTATGATCTCAAACTCAGACGGCTCCTCCCAAAGGGTGCTCATTAGTGAAACATCTGACCAGGCGCCAGATGTAGAATTGAAACGAGGCGGCTGCCAAGCCGACAGTTCTGAGAGAGGGGCCAAGGTGGTCCCTTCCCATTTTACCGTTGATATGTCTAATTTTCCTCCTGCTCCTTCTAAGGGAGAGGAGGCGGGCCCCTCTGGGAGAGGGGAGGAGTCGTCCTCTTCGGACTTGTCAGAGGACGAGTCCGAGTCCAGCTCTTCTGGCCACAGTTCTCCAGGCTCAGAAGAAAGAAACAGCCGCCTACAAGAGGCGAGACTTTCTCATGCAGTTGAGAAGGGGGACAATTGGGCGGAGCCGTCCGCCTCTTACAGAGAGGAAAACGCCCCCTACTACTGCATGGTACCCCGGGGCCGGATCGCAACCATGCAAGACAAAGTGGAGAGCTTTATTGCTAACCACAGAATGGGCCCGGAATTTTTACTGTTCGTGCCGGATCCAGAAGACACTGTCGTCTGGCCGGCTGGTACCAGCTATGATGACGGCTGCTTTGGCTGCTATGTGGCGGCCATCAAAGCTGGACTGCGCTTCCCATTACATCCGGCTGTTCAGCGGATTTTAGATGGGTATGATTTGGGGTTATGGCAGTTAGCCCCCAACTCTTGGGTAAACGTACTCGGCTATGTGGCCGGGTGCGAAATGTACGGGGTGGAGCCAAGCTTTGAGGCTTTCGCCCACATGAACTATCTCAGCCGGACCCCTAAGTCGGGAGGTACCGGCTGGTATCAATTAACAAGCCATAGGGGTTACCTCATGACGAGAGGTAAGGCGAACAAATGGAAGGATTGGCGGAACACCTTCCTTATCATTGAGGGTTCAGACACGGAGCTGAACCAACGTTTTAACAAGTGGAATAGGGATCCGCCTCTTCTCGCAGGCGGCCGCAGCATGCCGCCTGTTCCCCCAAAGGCTAAAAGAGAGATCCTAGACAAAGGACTCTTCAAAGTAGAGACTAGGGTGAACTCTACTTCAGGGGTACGAGAGCAAGTACCCCTAAACTGCGTCCCGAGCTTCAAGTGGCTCTATGACGAGTACTTTTTGGCCGCCTGTGGCCTCAGCAGTCGGTGCTCTAGAGGTAGCCGGCCTGTCAAATACTCTGTTTTTTCACGCTTTGTTTACTTGGGATTTTACTAACTTTGCTGTTTATTTTTTGCAGCTGACGCCATGAGTTAAATAACAGCATCCAAGACTGCGGCGGCCATGTTGTGGGCCTCTCTCATGCAACAGTCTTGTACCGACTCCCCCAACAAGGGGGCACCCTTGGTAGGCTTCGAAAACTCTTCTTCTTTTAGGAGTTGTCTTATGCATATACTAACTCTTTTTATTTTCAGTCGGGCACTCCAAGAGCTTCTTCCTCGCAACAGCCGGACCCCAAGGCCCGGAGGACGACTGTTGCAAGCTCTCCTGGATCTTCCAGGAAAACAGTGGCGGCTGAGAAGCAGCCGTCCACTTCTTCTAAAACCCCGGCGGGGCCGCCTAGAAGTATGGACAATTACTTGTAAAAACTCACTTGCTTCCTTCTTGACTAGGTCTAACTTGCTTTTTTACGCTTGATGCAGCCGGCCCTCAGGGGCTTGACTTGGTTGAGGTAGCCAAGTCCATGATCAAAGTAGTTTCTCCATCTGAAAGGGAGGCGGTCAGGGGTGCCGGCACCCTTGACCTTGATGGGATTGCAGGGGTCCTTGCTGAGGTATACTTTTTTGAGTATTTGAATTCCAGGACGCCTGTTATCTTTTTTGTTTGGAAACTGACGCCTGTTTTCTTTTTGTACTTAGGCCCTGCTCCGAGTTAACAGCCTTCGCAAGCCGATTGATCGGAAAAAACAAAGAGGTAAAGGCCGCAAAAGCTATGGCCGCCTCCAACTGTGATAAGGCAATGTTTCAAATTGCCCAAAATGAAGTACTGACCATTGATATTCTTTATTATCAGGCGCAGGCTACCGCCGCTGTTCGGGCTCAGTTAGAGGCGGCCCAGAAGAAGAATGACGAGCTGGAGGCGACCGTCACAAATCTTAAGGCCGAGCTGAAACCTCTTCGCCAAAAAATGCACTCTTACGAAGCCATGGAGAAATCTTTGGCCAACGTAAAAGAACGCCTGGTGAGCCAAGAGAAGAGTCTTACCCAAGAGCTCTCGGAAAAGGCCGAGCAAGAGAAGAAAGAGCTCGTCCGGGAGATGGTGGAAGACTCCGCTCAAATCCAGCGCATGACCTGGGGCCGCCTGTTCCCCAATGCCGACTTTGCCTCATGGGAAAGAACGTACCGCCAGTGTTCGGAAACATATAATCAAGAGATCCTGGCGGCTGCTGAAGAAGAGGCGTTGGGAGATACGTTGGAGGAGGAGGAAGAGCCGGTTGTGGCGCTTGTGCCACTTGGGGGTAAGGCATCAAAAGAGGGTGCAGCTGAAGCCGAGTCCAGCAAGAAGAGTGCTGACCAGGCGGCAGCTGCAAATACTGAACTGCCCCCTTAAGCTTAAAGTATTTTTTCCACGGCCTGCGTGCCGTTTGCTTTGTATTTACCCGGCCAGGGGGCCGGGGCTTTGAATATTTTGCTGGTCTTTAATGACCGGCTTATTTTTAATCAAATTTTTGTTTTGATTCAAATTTGTCTAAGTATTCCATATCTAAT